CGGGATCAAACAATAAATAAATAAAAATACCTTTTATACAAATTTTTATGTAGCACAATAATGATCATCTGATTCATATTAAAACAATCAAAAGTAATGCAACATATGATTTATACAAATTGCATATTATTTTATAACTGGAAGTATTAATGAATATTAAAAATTTTTAATACCAAAAATTAATGGTATTAACAAATAAAATTTTATTAAAGAGGGCGGGATATCTCTAGAATTGAAAGAAATATTTAAATTTAAAGGTTTTTATTTTTTTGTTACATTATTTATGATCGTCACTGTAAGTATTATTATAAGAATATATAATAAATTAAAATAATTATATATATTAATATAAAAAATTTTTTTTAAAATAAAAGATTATTTTTAGTTTTATTATATAATTAAATATTTTATCATGATTAAAGAATTTTTCATTATATAAATTTATATCATTTTAAAAAAAATAATAATTAATTATATTATATTTTAATTTAATGACTAAATTTTTCAGATTCTTTATTTTTTTTATTTTTTATAATATGTGAAGAGTACTTTAAATAACTATTAAGCAAAATCATAATACCTTAATGACATAAACTTTTATTACTAATCATATTTATCCCAAACTGTGGTGCTGCTTATTTAAGAACTTTTTCTCAAAAGTAAACACTGTATATCCTTTTACTGTGATTTTTTACATAGGTAATCTAGCAACCAAGTAACTATCAAATATGGATAGAAGAATCATTTTAGGTTATATAAAAACATTATTACTTATATTTTACTTAATTAATGTCATAAGATTTATAAAATAATACCACAAGATTTGCTTAATTGGTAAACTAACAAATAAGCATTCTACACATTTTATCAAATAATCCAAAAATCAAACTTAACTTTTAAAAACAGTATAATTAGACATTGCTGCAACATATAATTCAATCTATTATCGCCATAAATCTATCTACTAAAAACTAATTAATTACTTTCTTATATAATATATAACTTTATTTGTATATTTTTTTAAATAATTTAAAATTCTAATAAACAATAATCATTATTTATTCTTTTTGAAAATTCAATGAGATTTGAATGCTTTTGTACCAATGAGATAAGTTCTTTAGTTTGAATAGCCAACATTACATGAATATATGAAAAAATAACAGCATCAATGAAAGTAGGCAATCTAAAAACAAAATAAATAAATATTAAAATCCACGGATTTTATTTAAAAAAATTTAACTCATCTCTTTTAAATTACCTTCCAAAAAAATAATCATTATCTCCAAAGGCAACTGAAATTGATTGCAATGCTTCAGCTGCTTCTTGATATATCTATTTAAATATATAATGAAACTATTAGTAGATTCTCCAGGGTAAGATTTTAGGTAAATAAATTCGATTACTGACTTCTTCCCCATTTAACGCTTGCTTTCTTGTTAATAATTCCTTGATGGCTAGATTTTTATACTGATGAAACAGTATCTTATCTAATGGCTTAGAATAATGACTAACATAAAATTTATGTGCTATATAATTATTTGCGGGTTCACACCAAAGATTATAAAGCTAAAAAAAAGAAATAAATTAACAAATTAAATTAAATTAAATTTAATTTTATACAAATCGTAGCAAATATAAAAATTATTCTCAGAATTGTAACCCATTCGAACATTGAATCAACTAACTCGGGCCGTGCGAGCTATTTAAAGTTTGAACATTAATCTTAATCTTTAGCCTCGAAACCGAAACATGTAAGGACGAGATGAGAATACAATTTTCATAATTGCCGTGCATAACCATTATTAAGATTATGATTATTATTTTTAAAAAAAAACTATTTACCAAGGCATTTCGCAACTTTGTATCTGCCAATGCAATATATGCTTGTGAATCTGCTTGTTGTTCATTACTTAAACTTACAAATTGTTCAGAATACTATACGTGAAATAAATTTTAATACAATTAATTATTAAACCAATCATCAATGCATTGAAATTAAATATATTAATTACCAACCCTATCAGAGATAAATTTCTCTATGCCATCATCCACAAGATTCTCACCAGTTGTTAATACTAAGAATGGAAGTTTTCCTATACATTTTATATGTAATTATATATAAATAGAGTAAGTAATAAATATGTTATAAAATTAAATAAGTAAATATACCTGAGGGAGACATTAAAGGTTCATTAGAAATCTCGGTATCGAAATCACATTTACTAAATTTCAAAAAAACCTAAAATAATAATAAAAAAGATATTTTTCAATAATATTGTTTGATTAATATCAGTATCTCTCTTTTTGATATATTTTATTCAAACGGAATTACTCAATTTAATAAATATTTCCAGGACATTTAGCAATATGTTCAATATTTACCTGCCACTTTACACATTCTTGGTCAAAAGAATTTTTCGTTGATCTCCCCCATATATATAACCTTGGGCAATCAAGTTCTCGTGGCCTAAGTAGAGATCGGTACGTCTTCAATGGAAATTGGTTAAGAAATTGGCGAATACTGTGATGTATCGGGTTGTTGTTTATTGCATTTCGCCAAGTTTGGTCAGACATTGTGAAAGAAAAAAGATGGCAACAAAATTTTCATTTGGAGTCCTGATTGATCGGTGAGCAAATCCTTAAATTCAATTGGCTCTCATCTACTTTTTATAATTCCTCACAGTTAATGCTTTTGAAAACGTAAAAATTCAAGATTATTGTAAAAATGCTAAAAATGAAAACGAAATACTTTTATATAGTATCTACTTGTCAAAAATCAAAGTGAAAGGCCTTTATAAGTTAGTTAAGAAATACAGTAAAATTGAATTAATGATGTCGCTCTATAATCTAATTTCTATGAATATTACTCTTTAATCTAATGGTTATAATCTAATTATCACCCTTTAACCTGCCTACTTTCTTTTTAAAACTATCTCTTTTATTATCTAGCTATCTCTTTAAGCCTTTCCTATTATTTGTGTTTTATATTGATATATTTTATTACTACTTTATAATCTAATTCTTACCTCACTCTTTAATCCAATTACCTTTCTTATGTTCATATTTCTACTTTATTTCAGAACTAGATTTTATATTGAGGATGCTGGCCTTTTATATCTATTTGGATGTTAGTTTCTGATATTTGTATTTGGTTTGCTTCTATAAATTTTTATTATCAGGTTGTTGACCAGTTTGTTTTTTAATATTATATCATTTTTAATGCTAAATTGCATGATTCTTGCTAGCTTACTTCTGTATCCTTTTTATTATCTTATTATAGTTTGCTTGTTGACCTGCTTCTATACCTTTTTATTATCAGATTGTATGTTAGTTGTTGGAAACATAAAAAATCATGTGTATAACTTCTTGTATACTTATATCCAATTGGAAATTTTGTATGTACTAGATAAAATTAATACTGTACTTGTAATAATTTTTATATTAATTATTAAAATATACTAACTGTACTAATTGTACTAATCACTGTACTAACACTTTACTTCCCAATCCTACTTGCATCCTTTTTATTACTTTATCATGTGATTGATTGGTTTTTTGTATTTGGATTTATATGAGGTTAGATTTATATAAAAGAGCATATTAAGAACTATTCAATTATATTAAATTTACATGAATTGGATGTCTGGATAGTAAGAAATTGCATCACAAAATTTGTATAAATTTTAATTGTAATTGATCTCTATTATATTCCTGAGATATTTCCAGTATAATTTGTATCAGATTATACTAGATTTATGGCAAAAAAAATCAGTAAATTTTAGTTTTATTCATCTTAAATATCTAATATATATCATATATATCTGAGTATATACTAGTTGTATAATAAATAATGCTAATATTTATATAATATATTATGCACTTACCTATCCTAGATGTTACTTATTAAGAATATATTTATTACTGATTCTTTTACCAACTTGCTATATATCTAAGACAGAATTTTTTATAGTAATATAATATTACCAGTTATTTCTATTATTTTTATAAGAAAAAATTTATGAAAATATTCTTAGAAACAATTTAATATCAATTTTATGAGTTTTAGTTTGATTTATCATGTTTTTTATTACTTATTCCTATGCTATGATCCTATATGATTCTATGAAGTATAAAAAAATTTGATTTTTCTATGATATTCCTATAGATATATGAGAGATTTGCTAGGAAAATTGGGCTTTGAGTATTTTTTATTAAATTTTTAATTTTTATTGCATTTTAATCTAATATTATCAAAAATTAAAATGCAATAAAAATTAAAATTTTAATAAAAAATGTTCAAAACCCTATTTTTCTAGCAAATCTCATATATATACTTCCAGCCAATAAGTTTAGGATCATCCTAAAATCTGCAAATAAATTGTGATAAATAAATACCAATATATCAGTGTAATCTAAAATTTGTATCATATAATAATCAATAAATAATGATTGCTATGCAGATCACACTTTTCAATCTTAATTTGAATATGAAATGATAATTGGTTTCTATAAAACTGGTGAATCAAAAAAAGCTATTTCTAAAAAAAACAGATTATAGCAAAATTACAATTCATAATATTATATCAAAATATAATGAAATGGGTATTATTAGTGTTACTCTACAAAGTGAACATCCAAAAATATTAACAGAATATGATAAATGTTATTTTAAGACTATTATTACTCAAAACTGTCATGTTTAGCAGATAAATTAGTAAAAACTTTTGCTAAATTAACAGGAAAGTAGTATGTAAAAATACTATAAAAAATACCTTATATGAAATGGTATATAAAAGTCATACTGCTCTTAGAAAATCCAATGTTAGTGAGCTTAACTGAAAAATACAATTAAATTGGACTTGTGAAAGATATTTATAGACTATTGATAACTGGAAAAATGTTGTATAGAATGATGAATCCAAATTTATATTATATTAAAATAATAGAAAAATCTGAGTTTGGTATCTTCAAGAAAAAAATATAAGGTAAGTTATCTTGTTCCTACTATAAAACATGATGGAAGTGGTATTATGATGTGGAAGTGTTGGTATGGATTAGGTCTATTAGTAAGAATAGATGATCGAATAAATAGCGAAAGATATATAAAAGAAATTTTTAGCTATCATATAATACCTTTTTTTAGAAGAGTTTGAAAAAGAATATGATGAATATTTATTTTAGCAAGATAATACACTTATTCATATTAGTACAAAAATATGAAATTTGTTGAAGAAATGCAATATGTTTGCTATTATAACCTAAATAAAGTTTAGATCTTAACTAAAGATGGTTCTCATAATTATTTTTAAAATTTTTAGCTAGTTGCAACTTAAGTTGCAACGCTTTGAGTTGCAACATTTTATGAATTTTTATATTAAAATAAATTTACAAGGAGTTGTAACCAAGTTGCAACTCAACTTGCAACTTATCGAGTTGCAACTTCTTAATTATGATGCCTATCTTTAATTTTAACTCTATAGAACATCTATGGGATGAACTTGAATATCACATTTAAGCTAAAAAAAATCATCCAAAAAATTTGCGAAAATTGAAAATACTTCTTCAAGAATGTTAATTTGAATTTTTATGTAAGATTTATCAAAGCTTATTACAAGTATATACATCATATAGAAGCTGTAATCAAAGCTCATGGTTATCCCACAAGATATTAACAAATATTTTTTAGATTTTTATATGGGTAAAAATTATAAATTATTTTTATAATTTAATTTTTTAATAAAAAATATTAATTTTTTATTAAAAAACTTTATTATTATTAAAAGTTTTTAATTTTTCAATATTTTTTTTATATTATTTTATATATAATATCTATGATGTTTAATAAAAAAAATTTGTGCAATATATTTATAAAAAAATTTTTTTATCTCACATTAATAATTTTAGCTTATTTCATTAAAAAAAAAAGTTATAAAGATATCATATAAGAGGTTTGTTAGAAAAATGGGATTTTGAGCATTTTTTATTAAAATTTTAATTTTTAATGCATTTTATTTTTTGATAATATTAGATTAAAATGCAATAAAAATTAAAATTTTAATAAAAAATACTCAGAATCACATTTTTCTAACAAATCTCTCATATATTAAATCCACTAATAATTTATTAAAACAAATCATAAAAATTCATTATTTTTTTGGTAGAATAATTATATATGATATATATAATTTTTTATAGTCTAATAAAAAAGTTACCTATTAAAAAAATCCATTTATTGAATGATCCTAAGCTTATTGGTCAGAAGTGTATAATTATAAGTATAATTGATATATAATCAATGTATAGTATAAAAAAAAAATAAAAAAGTAAAGAAGTTTAGGATTTTATAGGAATATATAGGGATATAAAAACAAGTAATAAAGATAACTTTTCAGTATTTTTAAAAAAAAATACTTTTAACGTTCTTATTAAGTTTTTTTACTATTCTTATAAAAATTTCATAGAATATAAAAGATATTTTCATAAGACCAAAATTTTTGATAGAGTTATTAAAGCTAATTTATTAAGAGTCTATCTCATTACCTTTAGAGTCTACCCATTCTAAAATATCTTATTAATTTTTTTAAGTGATTATATACATTCAAATGATATTTATTTATATGTAAATTATATAATTCATGTTTAGAAGCTATTGATCTTTCACATTATTTGCAAGGAATTTGCTGATATCTTTTTCAGTAAATTTTATACTTCTCTTAATATTTACATACCTATCTACAGACTCTTTTTCATAAAAATAATACTGGTAAATATATTTACAATCAAATTTTAATATACTGATATATAGAAGATTATAATTCAATTTGATATTTGAATATTTAATTTGAAAATCAAATCAAATACAAATTCAAATCAAAGAATGATTTATTTAATCAAATCTAAATTAATGTTTGATTTGATTCGATCAAATGCAAATCAAGTATTCAAATATTTGATTTGATTTGAATCAATAGTAAAGCCATCTTCAAAGCTTTAGAAGTAGTTCTTACTAAGAAAACCATAGTAAAAAGTGCTTCTTCAGCTTCAGAAATGGCTTTTTACTAAGAATACCATAGCAAAAGTGCCTCTGCAGCTTCGAAATGCCTTTTTTACTAAGAAAACCATAGCAAAAAGTGCCTTCACGGCTTTGAAAATACCTTTTTTTCTAAGAAAAATATAGCAAAAAGTGCCTTCACAGCTTCGGAAATGCCTTTTTTTCTAAGAAAAAAGCATAGTAAAAAGCACCTCTGCAGCTTCGGAAATGCCTTTTTTACTAAGTAAAATATAGTAAAAAATGTCTTCACGTCTTCAGAGACATTTTTTATTAAGAAACCTAGTAAAAAATGCGTCTGTAGCTTCAGAAACGTTTTTTTACTAATAAAATTATTATGAAGCCGAGATGGCGAATATTACTTAGTAAAACCGAAGCTGTGATGGCAGTTATTACTAAAGTTTTCTTAGTAAACTGAAGCTGTAATTGTGGTTTTCTTAGTAAAACTGAAACTGCAGAGTTATTTTATTAAGTTTAATAGTAAAAATTCACCTGTTACTAAACTTAC